ATGGAGGGACCATGTTCCTACAGATTCAACAAATCCGTGCATTCCTCTTATGTTCTAGGGTTACCTATTCCAAAGGTAGTATACTGTTATTCATCATTATCATCATAGTTACCGTCGTCATCATCATCACCATCATCCTCACCATCATCATTATCAACATCATCATCATCTTCATTATCATCATTATTATCCGAGACAATAGGGTTTAGAACCTGGGGAATCAGACCCCTAGACTCTCCTGAGACATTTAAAATTATAGGGCATATTATAGGGATCTGAGCTCCCCCATTCCCCTCCCCAACATTGTGTAAGAGAGCTTCAGCTGCAGCCTTTATCCTTCTTCTTCTTCTTCTCCAACATTCCGAGCCCTTGGGGTTCATTGCTGCAGCTATCACTCACTTCCATTCATCTCTCTGGTTGATCGTTTTCATCATTTAGAGCCCTTGGGGTTCATTGCTGCAGATATCACCCGCCTCCATTCATCTCTCTGGTTGATCGTTTTCATCATTTAGAGCCCTTGAGGTTCATTGCTGCAGATATCACCCACCTCCAATCATCTCTCTTGTTGATCGTTTTCGTCATTTAGAGCCCTTGGGGTTCATTGCAGGAGATATCACCCACCTCTATTCATCTCTCTGGTTGATCTTTTTCATCATTCTGGGCCCTTGAGGTTCATTGCTGCAGATATCACCCACCTCCATTCATCTCTCTGGATGATCTTTTTCATCATTCCGGGCCCTTGAGGTTCATTGCTGCAGATATCACCCGCCTCCATTCATTTCTCTGGTTGGTCTTTTTCATCATTCCAAACCCTTGAGGTTCATTGCTGCAGATATCACCCGCCTCCATTCATCTCTCTGGTTGATCTTTTTCATCATTCCGGGCCCTTGAGGTTCATTGCTGCAGATATCACCCGCCTCCATTCATCTCTCTGGTTGATCTTTTTCATCATTCCGGGCCCTTGAGGTTCATTGCTGCAGATATCACCCGCCTCCATTCATTTCTCTGGTTGATCTTTTTCATCATTCCGGGCCCTTGAGGTTCATTGCTGCAGATATCACCCGCCTCCATTCATTTCTCTGGTTGGCCATCTCTTTCCAGTTGATATCACCAAGTGTTTGCAGGCCTGTCTGGATATTATCTCTCCATCGTCTTCTTGGTCTGCCTCATATCCATATACAGAAAATCTCTTTAAACGCATTTGTAGGTTTTATATTTTTTCATTGATATTTATTTACCAGTCAGCACATTATTATAATTATTATTATTGCTAATGGGGAGCACATGTGGTTTAGAGGCCCGACACTCGCCTGGGGTTCCGAAGGCTATGGGTTCAAATCAGAGCGGTGCTGAATTTTTTCTTTAAAAATGACCTTGGCTCCCAGTTAAATGGGCACCCCCCTCCCCGTCTCCCCTGTAAAGAAAGAAAATACAATTGAAACAGTGGGATCTAGATAATTTAGCACCTCCTACCTCATCAATGTGGTCTCTTGCTTCTGTACGTGAATCTTGCTTATGACTCTGTGACCTGAATAACAGCCGTTCATACTATCTCTCCAGGACCAGGTCCTAGTGGAGTATGTGTACATAGCAGAGGACGGATACAACATACACAGCAAATGTAGAAAACTGAATCAGGTGCCTACAGATCCTTCCGGTGAGCAGTCTAGTTTTGTTGTCTATGACATTCTCTGTGAACTCATGGGTACTATGTTATTTGTTGATTATATTCTATGTTGTTGATAATTCCTGTCCAGAATATTCTGTCAACAATCTTCATGCTTACACATTTTGATTCGCACACTGGACACAACAGACTGTGTAGCTATTTATAAAGGAAATTCAAGATTGGGGATTCAGAGCTTTGCCCGGGTAGACTGGCACTGAAGAATACTAGACATGTGCTACAGACATGCTGTCTACATGTAGTAAAGATTTCCCAGGTGTTGGCTGGTTGGTATTGTATTGGAAAGCAAGCTGTATGGAACAGTGGAGGACATGTGTTGCTCTAGACTTGTTGGAGACCTGTGGTTCTCTCATCTGAAAACCACTGGCAGGAGAAATGAAAGGAATAAAAAGAGGTTGATGAGGTGAAAAAGTAAGTAAGCAAAGGAAAAAAAGACTATTGTTTACCTAAGTAGTCCATTGGGCATATGGTGTTACTGATAGCTAGATAGAGCCATCATCACTCAGCGTGTAAAGTGGTTAACATCACACCGGCCACTTTCCATTTTCTGGAACATTATCTGGTACCCATTTTGGCTGGGTTAACCTGTGAGTCAAGGTCAGTTCTGAAGAAAAAGCCCGCCCACATGTGGGATCCAAACCAAAACCACCGGGTCTGCACACTGCTGTTGTAAGTGTAGCCACAAAGCTACGGCGGCTCCCTGATGAGATCTTTTTGTTCTTCTTGCTCACTGGCTGTACACTCTGGTAAAATGTTTTGGTTATTTGCCCACTTCTGGACTTTTGTCTTTTTTAAGAACTTGAATTTTGCATGCACATCCGTTTTACAGACCTGGCTTATTTGTATGCAGACTGGTAGTTTCTCACACCTCAGGCAGATGACTCTGACTTTGAAGTAAACATCCCTAATTGATCAACTCTTGGGACATGCTTGTTATCGCGGTATTGAGTCATTTCTAGTGCTATTCAACTTTTATCTAGAGGTTAACATGTTGAAAATGGAGATCTCCTTGGGCCAGACCCGAGCCCCAGAACAGACAGATCATTATTACAATACAGTAAACAATGATCCGCAGGTCATTTATTAGGCCTTTGGGGGCCAAATTTGGCCCACAGGCCACCAATTGAATAGTTTTAGTCTATTCTTTCCCCCACATAATGAAGCCTTTAAATGCACACGGGGACATGATCCTATTTACTTGAAGGCAAATGCTCTATTCTGTGGCATGACTTGACCCTTGCAGATGTTCCTACATGGAGCTTTGCCGCAAACTTTCCTGTAGAGGACCGGTTCCTGAAGCCAGTTGCCATCTACAATGATCCGTTTCGACAAGGGAACCACAAGCTGGTACTTTGTGAGGTCTATGCTAATGATTGGACGCCAGCACGTGAGTTTCACTTTTCAATGTCCGTCTGTCCTTGTGTGTGTGTGAATGTTTTTAGAAAAAAAAAGGGAGGGAGGGAGTGTGGACACATGTTGCTAGTCTATTTATATCTGTCTGGTTTTTCTGCCTTCCAGTTGGCCTCCATGGCACCTTCAGGTGACGACACTCAGACTGAGCAGCAGACGCATGTTACTATTTAAGTATTACAGTTTCTATTATGAGGATACACATTCAGGCTATCCAGCTATCAAGGTTCCAGCTTCATCTGAAAGGGGTCACTCCATGATTGCTACGTTCCTGTGCCTGTAAAAGCCAAAGAAAATGTTCAACACTGTCTCATGTGAAAAGTTAAACAGTCAGACGTTCTGGGAAAATCAAAAAGCTCAGACACACATTAAATGCATAACACACCAGTCAGCACCTACAGTCTGTCACTAAAATTGCTATTCATCATTGATGAAGCAATAGTCCCGACCAACCAGCAGGGGCACACACAACACTGCGTAAGACACACAGCCTGTTCTGTGGCATCCAGCCACTCACCATTTTCTGAATAAGCAGCTTACAGTATACATCTCTGATAGTCTACAGTAAGCATTCTTCATGAAATTTATACCTCAGTGTGCTGCACAATGCACGCAACTCTGTAATTGGCATAAAGAATTGGATTTCACCTTTATCTGGATTGTTATCCCATCCAGTTTCTCATTGGGGTTTAAACCCCAACCTTCCACCAGATAATTAGGGAGAACAGGGTCCACCACTTGAAAGTAAGGTAGGCTTGAGCAAGAGAGGCTAAGAGACATCAAGAATCTTGTATTGAGCATCATTGCTCCTTAAGAACCCAAAAAAACATAAAGACAACTACATGTTGCTGTGACAAATTGCATCAGAAATTTAGTTTGATACTAGCAAAAAGGATCGCTGCCTGAGCTACTGTGTTTAGTGCTTGGTGCAGCCCTGTGAGCTGTGTTTTTCATGTGGAATGCCTTTCATTTGAGCAGGTGATGTGTCATGGTGTTTAGTATGGCCGTTAGCCAGTTTATGTGCGAGCTGGCGAAATACCTTTTGTAATAGTTCTATATTTGTATAACCAACTTGTTGTGCCCTACTACTTTCATCAAGGACAAACTGTGTTTCTTGTTGCGACTGTTGGCTTTGGCACCTCTAGCAACTGCCATATGCATTTACTGCCTGCGTGTATATTTTTGGATTGTTCAAGGACTGATGGTTTGTTCACCAGTTTTTCAAAAGAGACAGTGAGGGACATTTCATTTGACTGTCACTGACACAGGAATGGAGCAAGTATGGGAAAACCCAATTGCAGTAAAGTTGAAACCTTGACTAAAACTAAGACTAAGGATTGTGGTAGAGGACGAGATAATTCAGCTCATAATTATCTAATAAATAAAACTATGAGTTTATACTCTTGGAGAAAATCTGGTCAACAGAATACAAGACAAACATGGGAGGCAAACAGATGAAAAACTCCCAGTACCAAAAGAATCACCCAGCGAAAAAGCAGGAAGATTTGGTACAATCACAGCCAAAACACCATAGGAAGTAGCTGAGCATGGCTTCTTCAAATCTTGAAAATAATTGAAATAGTTTGGAAAGATCTGTAATGGAGGGTATCGCTCCTAGGACAAGAGGCATGGGTCGACCAGCACTGGGGTTGACACATAATATAAAGAACCCCCAGGGGCATGGAAGTTCAAAATACAGGAAAGTTAGCAAGGGACTGTGTGACTTTCTGGTGTGCCGTGATGAGAGCAACATTCTACAGTTATGAGTTAAGAACTGACATCTTAGCTCGTACGTGGGACATTCTCATAAGCACTCCTTCCCCATCTTTAACAGCAAGCACATAGTTTCAATTCAAATTGTACCAGTGTAAGTCTGATTGTATGTCTGTCCAGCCCCTTTCCTTCAGTGCTGAGCGTCGGCCAGATCCCCTGGTCACTTCCCACTGCACCATTCTCTTAAGAATGTGGTGATCCATTTGTACCTCTAAACTGTTTAGTCACTCCGAAAGTGCCCGTACAACATCAAGGTTTTCATGTATTAATTTACCATGAAGTGATGCAGAACCAGCCAGTATATCTGTCTGTTCACTTCCCAACACAGCGACATGACCTGGAACAAATATTCAAACTAGCATACCTGCCTATAAAAGGCTTGCTATATAATGATTATACTCTCTACGATGTCATCCAAGGAAGGCCTTCTGAATGGCTAACATACAGGACTGCCAGGTATCTCATAGCTGAAATCACAAAGATGGCAGGATGATTGAGTATGTAGGGTTATGTCATGAAATGTCATGACTTCCTTGACCTCAATTTTTAGTGATCAGTGACAAACTATTGCTTCTAATTGGAACATTAAAACCAGAAGCCGATTCTGTATGTGTGTGTTTTTAGTTTTTGCTTCATATCATATGAAACCAGCAGACTGAATAGAAATAATTGAGATCATTGAAACTGATGTGTACACAAAACTGAAGTTCTGCAACAGGACCAGTGTTCAGTAGTGGACAAACAACCAGAACACTAAGAAGTAAAATAAGAGCGTTTCCGAACACTTTATCACTAAGTCTATCACTACTTTCATGTTTCTCCCCCCCCCCCCCCCCCTTGTTCCCAAACCATTGTGTGGATTTTGTTTGTTTGTTGGAAAGGGGGTGGGGGGGGGGGGGAAGGGGTTAGAAAAGGCCCACTGTCCTCATAACAAGCATGACATGGAAGGTCACTAATTTAGAGTGTTACCTAATGTGTCTGCCTGAGAGATGAGCAACCAGCAGTCCGCATAGAGATAAGCCAGATCCGTTAAACAGATGTGCACACAAAATGCAAGTCCTGGGAAAAGACCAAAGTCCAGAAAAGGACGAACAACCAGAACCTTTCACCAGAGTTAACTGTTGGTGAAGCTAAGAAGGAGGAGGAGGAGGAGGAGAAGGAGGCAGGGGGCGGAAGAGGCAGAAGAGGAGTCGGATGAGGAAGAAGAAGAAGAGGAAGAGGAAGAGGAAGAAGAGAAAGACGAAGAAGAAGAAGGAGGAGGATTATTAAGGCTTAACAGACCAAAGACAAATTCTAGATAAAGACTAAATCTGACAATAATAATTTCAAAAATATTAGCCCAGTCATCACTTTTCTGAGTACCCATGTCAAGCCTCCTTGGCACAGAATTCATTCCCAAGATAAATAACAGATACACGATTTTCCAATCACCCAGCTCGTAACTTCAGAAAGAGCTGTACTGACGCCATGAAAACAGCGGAAGTTACAGAGGCAGCTCCGTGGTTTGGGCTAGAGCAAGAATATTCCATTATTGACCCCTCTAATCGACCTCTGGGCTGGCCAAGTCCATTCATGCCGCAGCCATCAGGTGAGTGCACATAGAGTCTTATGTATTGATCTTTGAAATATTCTTTCTGTGACCTTTTGCGTGATGACCTTTGTGCATTCCAGTTCATTTTTTGGACAACCGTTCCTGAATCTGGAGGCTTAAGTACCTTGAGGGAGACAACCTCGAGCCAAAAAAAAAAATAACAGGGGCCTGAACTCTCATAAAGATTAGTAAGAGGGCTAACTGTCCTCCCAAAAGTATAGAATTATTTTTTTAGTTTTGTTTGTACACCTATTATTTGATCTGTATGTGTGGTTCCAGAGAACCATTCTGAAGTTGGAGGGCATCTGCCTGAGAGGCAAGGAACCAGCAGTCTGCATGCAAATAAGCAGATCTGTAAAATGGATGTGCGGGCAAAATTCAAGTTCTGGATAGAAGTGGACAAACAACCAGAACTTTTCACTGCAGTTTACATCTAAGAAGAAAAATAACAATATATTTAAAACATATTTTTTTCATCCTTCAGTATATTATTATTAAACATTTAAACAAGGCCTAGACATTTAAATCTCCCTGGAAATTTTGCAAGGTTGACTGAGCACCTCTCCCTCCTCCTCCACTAAAGTTTCCTACATGTGATCCTCTTGATCTGTTAAATGTCATTCAATCAATAAACTAAGATTTATGATAGTTAAGAATCTTCTTCTTCTTCTCTGATCCTTCCATATCCCCTCGTGTACCATACCATTTTTTTCTTCATTGTGGTTGGAACAGGCCAGATTGTGTCTCTGTTGGCAGCACACAGTAGACAGTGTTGGAGCACATGCTCAGCATTGTCTGGTGCCACGCTACATGGGCATGTCTCTGTCGTTTCCTACACCAGAAATTTTGAACATATATTGACTAGGCTCTTCATTCATGCATTAATTCATTGTCTTGTTGTGCTGTTATATGTCACATAAGGCTTGCAGTCTATTCCCCATTTCTGTTCTGTTTTATGCAGTCCTTTCAATATCATGATTGGAATTCAGTCCGGTGCCTTCTCTCCTCAATGTTTTGTTTTAGGGTGTTTTTAAATGTCCTCTCTTCCTCATTTCATCTAGTTATGATTTCACTGCCTGTTTGGTGATTCTCTCCTCGTTTCTTCTCAGGATTTGTCCAACATGTTGTCAACTTCTTTATCTTATAACTGTTGTTATCAGTGGGTGACGAGACACCTCACTTACTTCTTCACCCCTCTTGAATTCATCCAATTTTATGTTCAACCTTTTCCTCAGGCAGTCTACTGGATGTCCTTTGTTTAAATTTTTTTCTCAAACGAAGCAATCAAAAACATGCCTTAAAAATCATTCCTTTGACAGGTCCTATGCATCATGACGCTGTGGGAATGCACAAAACATTCGGTAGAGATCTGTACGAAGCACATCTCTTCACCTGCATCTATGCCGGCATCAATATCTCAGGTGGGAATGCAGAGGCATTTCCTGGACAGGTGTGTAGCACTATCATCATCACCAAAAACATTACACTTACCACCTTCATCATCATCATTATATGTGTGCATTAAATGCATAAGGCAGCAGTCAGAAGTGCCAGTACAAACAGTCCAACACTAGAAAGGCAGTTCGTCATTAATGGGAGCAGTAGTTACAACAAATCTGTAGGTGCACATGTCATTAATTGCACAAGACACTATAAGTTCTTTAGCAACAGGCCATTCATTATTTTCTGAATCTACAGTTCACAAGACAAACTACATTGGGCACAGTCGAAAAACATTTAAAATGAAATCCACAGCTCACAGTGTCACACCATGCATTTAACTCAGCAGCTGGGTGATGGAAATATATTATTTCAGTCTACATATGGAAGTAAATGCAATGGCTAACTATTGTCAGAAGCAAAAACTTGCCACAGTTAAAAACAGTAAAGGGTGAGTAACAACCAGATAGGTTATAAGGGTGTTACAAATTGTATATCATGTCCCTTGAACCTAACAAATGTTTGTAGTTGACACCAAGTGAGGTAATTAGTCACATGACAGACTTGTTAACTCTCTTAGCACAAGAAGGTTTGGCAGCAAATACCCTATTTGGGAGAAAATATGAACACTAAAAAGAGGCAAAATTCAGGGGATATAACCATTTCAGTTGCCAGATTTCTTAAGCATGCTCAGACCAACTTGAACAATATAAGAAAACATATTATTCCTGATTACCCAGGAGAATTCAATTACCTACTGTACTGTGTTTTACTGAAATAGTTCAAGAGCAATGAGTCTATCCTCCCCCTCCCAAAATGGAATCCCAGAATCCACACCAGAGGAGGGGTGAGGAGTTGTGCTAACTTGCATTATTTCAGTTTATAGAATGTATTATATTACTTTTTCTTTTCACTTGACCTCAGTGGGAGTTTCAAGTTGGTCCTACAGAAGGAGTACAAGCCTCAGATGATCTATGGATGGCTCGCTACCTTCTGCACCGCCTATCTGAAGAGTTTGGGGTTGCTGTATCTTTTCATCCTAAAATTATTCCTGGGGATGTTGGAGCTTGTGGTGGTCATGTTAACTTCAGTACCAAGCAAATGAGAGAAGATGGAGGGATACAGTAAGTGGTTATGTCATTCTATCTTTATCGATAATAGATCAAACAGATGTATGGAGGGGGATACAGTAAGTGGTTATGTCATTCTATCTTTATCGATAATAGATCAAACAGATGTATGGAGGGGGATACAGTAAGTGGTTATGTCATTCTATCTTTATCGATAATAGATCAAACAGATGTATGGAGGGGGATACAGTAAGTGGTTATGTCATTCTATCTTTATCGATAATAGATCAAACAGATGTATGGAGGGGGATACAGTAAGTGGTTATGTCATTCTATCTTTATCAATAATAGATCAAACAGGTTTATGGGGGGATACAGTAAGTGGTTATTTCATTCTATATTTATCGATAATAGATCAAACAGATGTCACGCCACAGACAAACATAATTAAATCAACAGATCAGTTAACATATTTAGGTGGCAGTTTTGATTTACCAAGGGAAAAAAGAAAATATGATTGGCATTGGCAAGGCAACACTAGTTTTTAAAAGTCTGAACAAAATTAGGAAATCAAAACTTCATGCCTTTAAAAGAAAGTTACACATTTTTAGTTCCTAGGTTTTATTTCAGTCAAGAAAGGACAGTGAAAGTTGGAGAAAACTAAAGACACGGAGCAAAAGTTTACTTTTTTGGAATAAGGGGATTTAACTTCAGATGACCAAGGCATGGTAATGGAATCTTGATATTTGATAAGTCTCACCCGTAAAACAGATTATACAACTACAGGTAGTAGTAGTAGTAGTAGTAGTACATCTGACCCCACTAGGACATCACACAAGCGATAAACACCCAATGACACAAAGTGCCACCATGTGGATGAGGATCACCGAAGGGAAGTCCCAGAAACTGCGTTCAGCCATTAGACCATATTTATGGCCAGGCTATATTGCAGCCCCTGGCAAGAGCCAGGGGGGGGGGGGGGGGGGGGGGGGGGGGGGGCTTCAAAATAATGAAAAATAGCATCTCACAAGGAGATGACTAGATTAAAAAGGCTCACTACAGGTGGTGAGCGGCATACACACATAATACACGAAAGTGACCAGGGAATGCTAGTGAAAGAAATTAGAATGCTGTTACAACAAATATTTGTATTAATAGTTAAATACTGTTTAGAGAAATTGTTGAAATAAAAAAATAATTTTCCCACTTACCTATATGGTGCCTTAGGAAAATGGAATAAAATATTTTCAAAATGAATCACTAGCTAACCAGAACCGCTTAATAATGTATTTAAATGCAATCTGTACATTAGTTTTAGTTTCCAAAGAAGTTTTAGCAGAAAGTTCTGGCTGTTTATCTACTTTCAGGTCCCTTAACTCTTAGAGTCCCAGAGTGTTTAGCATCACAGGCTCAAGAGGTAGTAAAGAGAGACAAAAAAATCAACACCTCATGCGTTCACTGGGCTTCTAGGTAGGAGCCTAACAATGTATGATGCGTTCCTTGGGACTCAAAAGTTAATGCCCCAACCCAGCATGGTTTTGAATAAAATTGGGAAAAAAAGGGGAAGGGGTGAACTGAGTGTCACATTAGCGTAGTAATTTTGTAAGGAAGCTAGGGAACTCCAATTCCACATTTAACCATTTATAGAAATTATTTTTTTAAAGTTTTTATTTTTACGTTTTGCATTATTTCAAATGATTTATTATATTTATTTGCCATTCAAGCACATTATTATTATGCATTTAAACAAGGATTTTTGCTTATATAATGTGTGAGATGTGGGGTCAGTGGTGGTGGGTCTAAACCCTCAGTGGTTTCTCTTTGTCTGCACGCCTGAGTCATGAATATTTCTATTTGCAGACACATCAAGGCAGCCATGCCGCTGCTGGCTAGAACACACGATCAGTTTTTGCGGTTATGTGACCCACATGGTGGCGCTGACAATGAAGCCAGAATTAAAGGATTCTTCTGTACGGCTTCCAAACATTTCAAATGGGGAATTGAAGACAGAGATGCCACTGTACGGTGAGATGTGTTGTTATAATAGTATTTTACATGATATGTTGTTTTAAAAGTATTTTACATGATATATGTTGTTAAATAGTGTTTTACACGATATGTTGTGTAACAATATTTTACATTTCCTGAATGTTACAATGTTTTTCAAAATAATATGCTCTGCCAATTAACATAAGCGGTCATGATTTCCATCTCACACGATCACCAAAACCATGGATCATGGTCTTGTCTCACCCACCCCACCCATCTATGTAGCCTAACCATCTCTTTACCTCACCTTTGGTCTCTGTCCAGTTAATTTATGCCAGGACTTCTTGCATTTTCTGGGCAATTATACAAACCTTTTTTTCTTATGTATCCACAGAATTCCACGCCAGGTAGCGGAAGATGGCAAAGGTTTTCTAGAAGATCGGAGACCAGCCGCAAACTTTGACCCCTATATAGTTACGGATGCTTTAGTCAGGACAATTGTTCTCCGGCAGGACTTTTTAAGGAACCCTTATGCTGAACCCAGAGTGGTCAGACTGTCAGTGACCCCACAACAAACAAACCCAGACACTAACTAAGTTGGTTAAGTCTGTAGTACTGTGTTAACTCTTTTTTTCTGTCCTAGGCAGTTGGTACTTAAATTAACTCTTAGAGGATGGAAGGACATTGATTTGGCTTGATAGGTCAAAGTTGTCATTATAGGATGGTTTTGTTTCATAGGCATGTAATTTTACCAAATGTTTGTTTCGTTTATAAAGGTTACATTACAAATAAAATACCTTTTTGGTTACAGATTGATAAAAATGTGGAATACCAGAAGGGAATAGGAATAAAAGAGAAAATGATTGCATAAAGGATAATAGCTGAGCGTCTCAGAAGCAAGGACATTGAATAGATCCAGTGGCAGCAGTAGTCCTGAAATCCTGTGCTTATATTGTGGAAGACTGCTCTTGAAGTGAGCTGATCTTGCTCGTCACATACGCTACCAGCATGGGCTGGGATTCCCATGCCTTTGTATAACACAGTATAACACAGTATAACACAGTATAAAAACACAGTATAACACAGTATAAACACAGTATAACACAGTATAACACAGTATAACACAGTATAACACAGTATAACACAGTATAAACACAGTATAACACAGTATAACACAAACACAGTATAAAACACAGTATAACACAGTATAACACAGTATAACACAGTATAACACAGTATAACACAGTATAAAAAAACACAGTATAAAAACACAGTATAACACACAGTATAACACAGTATAACACAGTATAACACAGTATAACACAGTATAACACAGTATAACACAGTATAAACACAGTATAACACAGTATAAAAAACACAGTATAAAAACACAGTATAACACAGTATAACACAGTATAACACAGTTATAACACAGTATAACACAGTATAACACAGTATAACACAGTATAAAAAACACAGTATAAACACAGTATAACACAGTATAACACAGTATAAACACAGTATAACACAGTATAAAAACACAGTATAACACAGTATAACACAGTATAACACAGTATAACACAGTATAAAAACACAGTATAACACAGTATAACACAGTATAACACAGTATAACACAGTATAAAAACACAGTATAACACAGTATAAAAACACAGTATAACACAGTATAACACAGTATAACACAGTATAACACAGTATAACACAGTATAACACAGTATAAAAACACAGTATAACACAGTATAACACAGTATAACACAGTATAACACAGTATAAAAACACAGTATAACACAGTATAACACAGTATAACACAGTATAACACAGTATAAAAACACAGTATAACACAGTATAACACAGTATAACACAGTATAAAAACACAGTATAACACAGTATAACACAGTATAACACAGTATAACACAGTATAACACAGTATAACACAGTATAACACAGTATAACACAGTATAACACAGTATAACACAGTATAACAAAACACAGTATAACACAGTATAACACAGTATAACACAGTATAACAACAGTATAAAAACACAGTATAACACAACACAGTATAACAAACACAGTATAAAACACAGTATAACACAGTATAACACAGTATAAAAACACAGTATAACACAGTATAACACAGTATAACACAGTATAACACAGTATAACACAATAACACAGTATAACACAGTATACATTATAACACACAGTATAACACAGTATAAAAACACAGTAACACAGTAATAACACAGTATAAAACCAGTATAACACAGTATAACACAGTATAACACAGTATAAAACACAGTATAAAAACACAGTATAACACAGTATAACACAGTATAAACACAGTATAACACACAGTATAACACAGTATAACACAGTATAACACAGTATAACAGTATAAAAACACAGTATAAAAACACAGTATAACACAGTATATAACACAGTATAAAAACACAGTATAACACAGTATAACACAGTATAACACAGTATAAAAACACAGTATAAAAACACAGTATAACACAGTATAACACAGTATAACACAGTATAACACAGTATAACACAGTATAAAAACACAGTATAACACAGTATAACACAGTATAACACAGTATAACACAGTATAAAAACACAGTATAACACAGTATAACACAGTATAACACAGTATAACACAGTATAAAAACACAGTATAACACAGTATAACACAGTATAACACAGTATAACACAGTATAAAAACACAGTATAACACAGTATAACACAGTATAAAAACACAGTATAAAAACACAGTATAACACAGTATAACACAGTATAACACAGTATAACACAGTATAACACAGTATAACACAGTATAACACAGTATAACACAGTATAACACAGTATAACACAGTATAACACAGTATAACACAGTATAACACAGTATAACACAGTATAACACAGTATAACACAGTATAAAAACACAGTATAACACAGAGGTTTGCTAAAAGTGATCGAGGCTGTATCAGTAAAACTCTACACTCCTATGTAATGTAAACAGAAAGATCAGGTGATCAATTCAAAGTTACCATGGTAATCACATGACTGATTTTGAATTTTCAAACGAAGAGATGTACAACTTGAAAATGTGGTTTTTGCATTTCAGTGAGAAAAGCATTTTTATGCTTCATTCTATGTCAATATCCAGAAAGCAATGGCAAACTACTGGACGTTAATTTGCCTAGAAAAACAACACAACAGCTAGGGGCTGTTGGGGTTGGTTCTGCAATGTCCTGTAAAGGATACGCAACTAACCTATGTTGATATGTTGATAAAACTCTGTAGTAACGCACCTGAAAAAATAACGCGAAAATGCCAGGCAATAAATTGTACAAAGTTTTGTTTGTGTCTGCACTGTTTAAATTATATATAACATTTTCATCAGGAAAGACAAAAAGGTGCCAACAACAGCCCTTAAGGATTGAACAAGATATTGTTGATTAAATTACTAACAACAGTTTGGAAACTAACACTTGAGATATGATAACAAAAATTAATTAACTGGCATCAGTCAGCTCTAATATTCTTACCAACACTGTGCTGTCAGTGTCAATCTGGAAACTGTGCTGTCAGTGTCAGACTGGACACTGTGCTGTCAGTGTCAATCTGGAAACTGTGCTGTCAGTGTCAGACTGGACTCTGTGCTGTCAGTGTCAAACTGGACAATGTGCTGTCAGTGTCAAACTGGACACTGTGCTGTCAGTGTCAAACTGGACACTGTGCTGTCAGTGTCAAACTAGACAATGTGCTGTCAGTGTCAAACTGGACACTATCTACAAAAGGTTAGTTGCGTATCCTTTACAGGACGTTGCAGAACCAACACCAGCAGCCCCTGGCTGTTGTGTGGTTTCTCTAGGCAAATTTACGTCCAGTATTTGCCATTGCTTTCTGGACGGTCGGCCCCTGATACCACTGTTGAAACCAACGCAAGGCGCATGGGATCGAACCCGGCACTACGAATCGTTTGCAGTGACTTAGCCACAGAGCTGACTGTCTATAAAAGACAGAAGAGAAATAGTCATGGCAGAAATGAAATGTTCATGTGTTATACTGAGTGTAACAAGGAAAGATTGATGTAGGAATGATGATATCAGGAGGAGAGTCAGCACAGAACCAATACTGAACTTTACTGGCAACAAAGATCATATGGTTGATTTTTTATTTTTATTTGATTCGAGAACCGACATCACAGCACTCGGGGCATTCCCATAAGCAGAAATAGCATCATATGGTTTGGTCATGTAATAAGACTGGCAACAGATAGTGCACCACAGAAAGTAATGTTACATGGATGCAGTGGTAACAGAATCAGAGGTCCACCATGCAGAACACGGACCATCGAAATATAGAAGACACTGAAAAATAATATGTTTGAAGCAAAAAGTAGGGCCAAGCAAGGATCCAGGGGGAATGTGGATAAGTTGGGGAATGAACAGGCGGACAGATTGGCTGACTCTGCACAACTTGGTGGAATATTTATGCATGGTAAGGCAGACATGGTTAAGGCCTTATGGGAGCATGTGTACAATTGAGAGAAGCAAATGGATCACCACAGTCTGGTGACAGTGATTAAGCCGGGAGAGACAAGGCGATCTGACCGATACTCGACGCTCAGAGGAAGCAGGGAGAGACAAGGCGATCTGACCGATACTCGACGCTCAGAGGAAGCAGGGAGAGACAAGGCGATCTGACCGATACTCGAAGCTCAGAGGAAGCAGGGAGAGACAAGGCGATCTGACCGATACTCGACGCTCAGAGGAAAGGCAGGACATACATAATCAGACTGCTACAGCTGGTACTGAAACGATCTGGCTCTAAAGATGGAGACAGAGCACTTATGAAATGCCCCGAGTGCTGTGATGTCAATTCTTGAAGCAACTCAGCTCATGAAGGCCCATTCCAGAGATCTCTTCCTGCCTTACTTTCCAGGAGTAAAGAAAAGAAGAAGAATCGGCTTTAAAGGAAGCAGGTATCCATTGTTTTGAGGTTATTGAATTTGTTTGAATACTTCAAGATCCTCGGGTACAAGGATTTGGTTTTGGCAAGGGTCGGTTTTTCTTCCTTCCAAGGGCTCATGTTATTTTGAGACAGTATAAGAGTTGTATTATGGAAGAGATGGGGTCTTACCATGTAATACTGCCAAATACAACAATGGGAGAGAAATCTGGCCTCAAGAGAGGCTATAGGAAACTATGCAGGAACTGCAAGTTCATAGAGGCAGCCCACCTGGTGGTCTCACCTGAGTATACTGAGCAAGTGCCAAGAAGAAGAAGTAGTGGGTGTACTACAGCCAACCTGTATTGTGAAAACAGCACATCTTTTTCTTAAAAATAGAAGGGGAAGAGACAAAGACAGGAATCAAATTTCTTCTTCTTCTGATTGGACTTAAAGCTCCACACCCAGAAAAGCTAATCAGGCCAACAAATGCCTGCAGAAGTTGGATGTATCGGCTAATGGCACAAATATCACAGCCATGTTGTAAACGGGTGCAAAGCATTGACATACTCAGATAAAAAAAGAAGAAGAAGACCGTCATGTTCACTAATAGAAG